ACTCTGCAACCTTTCCTTTTCCTTTATTCATCCTTTTCTTTTTACTTTCAGCTAAGGCCTTTTTTAGATCAACATCACTCTATTACACCCTACTTCTTGTGGCTCTTCCCTGTGGCAAAAGGGTTTCAGTAGGTGTTGGGAAGGAAGCCTTTCTTTTCTTAGAAGGTTTAGGAGCACTGGGGGCTTTTGGTATGGATGATCTCCATTTCTTTGGATCGTAGCTGGCACCTACCTTTTTCAACAGGTCTGCTAGGGTCTCTTCAACCGATGAACCAGGTTCATCTCCCTGTGAACTTAGATTAACTAACCCTTCAGCAGCTTCACCAGAACCACTTCCCCCTGACTTCTTGCCACTTTTTTCAATATTTTCTTGTACCACCCCACAAATAGCAGGTACAGACAAATCAGCAGTGGGTGAATGATCAACCACTCCTTTCCCTTTTCCCATCTCTTCACTACAGTCACCCTCTCTCTCTTTTTCTTTTTCAGATTTCTTTTTACCTCCACTCCTTCTTACCTCAGGTAATTCCACATCCCTGATAGGCCCAACTAGAATAAGCCTAGTTTCTAAATTCTCAGTCAAAGAAGAACTTACCTTAGAATGGGATTCTTGAGCCTTCTTAGAGTCAGATGACCCAGCTCCTTCCCCCTCACTAGCAGACTTGTATGCTTCAGAATTAGAGTTAGACTCAGAGTCTTGGACCTGGCTTGCCTTTAATTTCTCATTCAATTTCTTTGAAAGAGCCCCAGAAGCTACTGTTTTTCGAGCATGCATTTTTACCTTTCTCAGCCTGGGTTTGGGAGTTGTGCTAGGTGGATGATGGGTAGTTGAATCAGAGGGAATGGGCTGTGGAGGAGTTCCAGGGTTGTCTTGTGGGTTGGTCATTATCGCTGATTTCTTGAGAGAATTTGTGAGTTAGAGCTTTGGAGAGGAAAGCAATTGAAAGTGAAGAAGAGTTTTTGACAGTTTAGTATTATGAAGATGGCAGGAGGTAATGGTGCATATTTAAAGAGAAATACACATTTAATGTATAACGGCAGCTTTAGCAGTGGTCAATTAGAGGTCTAATCAACCTGAAATTTTAGGTTTGAATGAATGGTTAGGCTTCCCTCAATTTTAGGCAAATTTTGTGGTTTAGAGTTCTAATGCGGACGGAACTGGTTCAAAACCAACAGATAGAATTTTCTAAGGAGTTTAAACAATTGTAGGACTTCTACTCATGATTTAAATATTTATATTTCTAATTTGTGCAGAGTATTAAAAACATACCTTAGGATTCAGATGAACCAACACTGATGAACCAGGTTCTTCATTTAGAATTCTCTTGACCATGCCTCAATTTACCATAATAGAGAAAATTTTGTGAGAGATCAGTGAGTCATATTAACACATGTCACAGGAGTATACTAATTATAGTATGAAGCTGAGTAAAAAATTAATCTAGATATCTACACAAATTCAGATTTCCTAGCCAATTTTTTTTTTCATTTTTCAATTTTTTTTCATTGTGCATTCGGAGCTGGTCCTATTAAGTGATTTTAATCATCCCTAATTCCAACCTGTTCCTTTCAAAGTTTTTTCTAATCAGTGCTTTAGTAAGTATGTCAGTCAATTTGTTTATCAGTTAGCACAAAACTCTATGGTAATCAGTCCTTTCTCATAATANGAACTATGTCATTCATCAAAGTTAAGCAACTGTGACTGTCCATCTTTTTCTTCTCAATATCTCCAATTAAAGGCTTAAGCCAAACATCTGCTCCACCAGACTTCCTTAAAAGACTGTTAGTAGCAGGAACCTCAAGTGTTACACTGCTCATAGCTAAACTTCTGCTACTAGAACCCTCCTCTGCATGCTGAATAGAGGAAGGGGGAGCTATAGAAGGAGGAACGGTAGAAGAGTTGAAAATAACAGGAGTCGAGGGAGTCGAAGCAGGTAAGGGAGCAGAAATTGGCAAAGAAGCAGGAACAGATAAAATGGGCAAAGATGTACTTGAAACTAAAGAAGGAATAGGAATGGAAGAGGAAAGAGGAACCTCATCTAAAACCGGACCTAGATCACCACTTTTGAAACCCTCAGTGAAGAGACGTTGAGTGGATTCAATGGTGTCCCTGGGGATGGTTTCATCATCGGAAACAATATTAACCGGAGAGGAGGCACGGGTAGGAGAAATTTCAGCTTCATCTTCAGAAATGATACGTCTCCTGACTCTAGGTCTAACTGCCAAAGAGGTGTCTTCATCTTCATCGTCCTCGGAATCCTCTTCAACAAATTTCCTCTTTGACAGCGTAGCTTGTGCTCTCTCTAAAGAAAGAGGAGTACCAAAAGAAGCTCGAAGGGCAATAGCTACTTCAGCTGACATTCCTCGAATAGCAAATCCTGACAGAAAGAAGGATAAAAAGTTAGAAGAGGGGAAAGAATTTAACATACGGGAAACAATAAGAGACGCATACCGTGAGTTTTTACTTTCCAACCATGTTTGTTAGAAATAGATTTCCAGGTTCGTGCCTCCATAGGCACGGCCTTCAAAATAGCATCTACCCAACCACGAAAATTAGGAACGGATTCCACATCTCCCATGGTTGCTACAAAAAAAAAGCAAAAAAGAATGAAATTAGAAAAGGAGTTGAAATAAAAAAAAACACGGCAAGAAAGAAATACTTACGTGCAAGGTTCCATTTCTCAGGGAAAGGAATATTTGATTCACCCACCAAATCAACCGTGGGTACCGCAACATAACGGGTGTACCAGCCTCGATCTTTATCATCTTCAGGGCTTACCAAAACCCTTTTACTTCTTGCGGTTAGGGTAAAAACACCATTGCGAAACAGCTTGGGGTGGTAAAGATGAATCAGATGAGAGAAGGTAAAATCGACATCAGCCTTTACCGATACATACCTTAAACAAGCTACTGCTCTCCATACGAGAAGGCCAATTTGAGGCAAACAAATTTTGAAAAAACGACAAAAATCGAGTATGATTGAGTCGATAGCAGGAATAAATCCCAAAGTAAAGGGATAAGTATAAACAGAGGAAAAACCAATCCTATAAGAAGATATTCTCTGGTTTGGGTTAGGAATAACTATATGAAAGTCATCTCTCCAACGACAATCTTTTCGAACAGTGGAAATTAAGGGTTCAGTAATTAAAGAAGGATAAGTGTCAGCTCTCTCTAATTTAATTACTTGGTCACGAAGGGATTCTTTATCATGCTCGAAAGATAAATCAGTTGGCACTATTTCTTCGACCAAAGGTTCTTGCATCGACTCAGAAGATTCTTTGCCTTTAGAGGAAGATCTATTAATGAAAGAACCTCTAGAAGTAATACCAGAGCTAGAAGAAGGAGTGATGGAACCAGAGGTACCACCACGAATGGATCCAAGGCCACGAAGTCTACCCCCTCTACCCCTTCTATGTCTCACAGGGGCATTGGGGAAACTGTCAAGAATTGGGACTCTTCTAGGGTTGGGATTTGAAGATGACATGGTAGAAAGGCTTGAACAGAGGAAGAAGTGAATAGAAGAAAATAGTGAAATATTAGGTAAAAATTTGTGGAAGGAGGATTAAGTTTATATAAAAGCAACCGTCAAAGATTAAGAAGTGTAATGATGGAAAGCCTATAATAAAGGCAACTATCACTTCGTGAATAGTGGAGTTGAAGAAGCTTTGAAAAAAGGCTGCAGAATTACAGAACTAATGAGAAGGAGACACGTGTGCGATACATTAAATAGAAAAGACAACTGAAGCGTTAGTACTGTCATAGCATTAATTATGGCAAAAATTCCCTTTTTAATGAAGATCCACTTCCCAAATATTTAATTGATAAATAAATGGAAAGTGGGGGGACTATCTGTATTGGGAAAAAACTGAATTTAAATATTGAAGATGACATGTCATGACACGTGGACCGGTCAAATAGTCAAAGCATGACAAACAGTTAGAAGACACGAGCAACAATAGATGCGGGAGAGAAGATACGAGCTACTATCCAGATGAAACGAGACTCGTACCTGTTCGAGCCATTTAAAGCTCGAAGATCAGAAGGAATTGAAGATATGAATCTGATAGCGTAAAAGAGTCCAAATTCAACATTAAATGCCAAATACGTTAGAGAATTTGTATTTAATAAGAATGATTGAATAACGTTTCTTTTAATGTCATTTACTGCTCGTAATTGCCTCATTAAGACAAAGATATTACACTTTCTCTTAGAATTGACTATAAAAGGAGAAAGTCACAACATTTGTAGGACACGAAATATCATTCCGATTATACTGAAATATACACTTATTCATTGCTTTATTGTTGTTCACAAAATCTCTTATTTCTTGATTATCAGTAACCCGATTTGTCTATTGAATTCTAGCTTTAACCAAATATTCAGTTTTCTGGTTAAACAATCAGAACATACAAATATCTATCAATCATCCTCCTTATTAGTCTTCTTTAGTAGTATGTTGGATGGGCCGTCGAATCATCATTTTCGGTTTTGTATTCTAGCTCATAAGTAAAAAGAAGCAAAATGGCAAATGAACCCACCATTACTGTTCTTAGAGAAATTACAAAACCTTTTACAGAAAAAATCTCTAGCTCTAGCAAATATCCTTTGGCATTATTATCTTCATATTTAAGTTACGGCTTCGACTCTTCTGCAATAATTTTCATTAGAATATTTAATGCTTTAACTTGCGCAACTATATTTACGTATCAGATAAAAATCACTCTTTCATTAATCGACTTTACTTTTAACTATGGATATGGATAAAGAAGCCCGAATGCAGTTTGACATTTCTTATCTCATTTTATGTAATGCTATCACCATTTAAAGTATCAAAAAGACTTGCTAGTACGATATGTCGGCCATCTTTTTTTAACAATAAAAAAATGTAATTCATATGATTTTTATATTGTTCTTAATAATACCTACTGTAGGAATAAATGAATTCACACGATTTGTGCAACTTGATCAGTTCTAATTAGCGAATAGGTCTACGAATTAATACGGAAAATAGATATATTGAGTCACTATTTCAAATTTTGTTTTCCTTTTGGAACGAAATAATAGTTTCTTTAGAGAAAAGTAAGGAAATCTTTTTTTGGGTGGGGTGGGCTGTGTAGCACATAGGAAAATGACTCGGTGAAGCGGTGAAGGTAAATATGAGTAACCTCGCGGTAAATCGAAAATTACCAACATCCCGAACCTTCTATAAAGTCCTCTCCACACATAACGCTCTCATTCTTTCAGCATCCACTCTCTCTCTCTCTCTCTCTCTCAAAAAATCTCAATTCTAGGGTTAGGGTTACTACGATGTCATCCTCAAAGATGATCGTGTTGAAGAGCTCGGACGGCGAGACTTTCGAGGTGGAGGAAGCGGTGGCTTTGGAATCTCAGACGATAAAGCATATGATTGAAGATGATTGCGCCGACACCAGCATCCCCCTTCCTAATGTGACCAGCAAGATCTTGGCTAAGGTTATCGAGTACTGCAAGCGCCATGTTGATGCTACCAAAACTGAGGATAAGGCTTCTGAGGATGAGCTTAAGGCCTTTGATTCTGATTTCGTTAAAGTTGACCAGGCCACCCTCTTCGATCTAATCTTGGTTTGATTCTCCTTTCCCTTTTTTCTTATTTGTATCTATTATATGTTTATTTTTATTAGAATCGCCTTTATGTTTGCCGTTGATTCGTGTTCTTGTTTGTACCTTCATACTGTTTGATTGAATGATACTATTTGCTATATTGATCTTGGGATAGATAATATCTTGGTGTCTCTGATGGAGCTCCTTTGGTCACTGACCTAACTGGTAAAGTCTGATGAAGGAACTTTGGTTTGGCCATGGGGCTTTGGTGTAGTGGTAAGAGCCTAGCAGATGATGTCTGGGTTAGGAGCTAGTCAGTGGTTCGAACCACCCGGTATGTTATTGAGAAAGGTTGGGGGGCTGAGCCGTTATCCTGAGTATTTAAAAAAAATAAAGGAGCTTAGGGTCTTCACAATATTGCCTAGCTTGGTACTTCACCTTGTCCAGCTTGCTGCTCTGCCTCTAGAAATAATCCAACCAATATTAAATGAAGTCCTCTCTGTTTCCTCATTTAATTCAGAGCGTTGGCCATTGTCTTAGTATTGTATAACCCCTCCAGTTCACCTGAGTCTTGTTAGGTTAAAAGGGTAGGCGGGTCTTGCAATAGTTAGTTTGAGAGAATCCCTAATATATGGGAGCGATGGACATTGGGTATCTCATGCAATAAAGTAGTGGATTACCTTCCTTAGGAGTCATGTGTGAGGAGGACATTGGGTATCATCTGCTCTTTGAAGTGTTGCAGAGAAGAAATTTGATGCTGGTGATTTTGGGAAATGATTGGAGTGAATTTTTAGATACATTTTGATTTGGAGCTAATTAGGATACTACTAAAAATGCAGAAGCTCTTGAGTCTCAAGAAACTGATTGTAGGACTCTATGAATTCTTAAATTTATTTGTACTCCCTGCTAAACTGGCAGAAGCTATCCTAACCAATGGGATCCCCGTAGAAAGTTGTTGGTAGTTCCTTTCTTTTTCCTATCAAGGCTAAATTAGGTATCCTTCACTATTGGATAGCATTATGGAGGAGGGTGAAGTGTATTCGTCTAGCTTGAATTTGGATGGGATGGAGAAAGAAACTAGAATTTTCTGTGTTGTTGGTGGAGAAAATCCTTGCATCCTAAGTCCTCTGTAGTCACTTTTTTGTAATTTGGTCCCAGGATATTGGGTGAAGAATGGAGGAAGGGGTGCCTTTCTTTACAAAAAGGAGGTTTTTTATTGATTTTCTAAAGCTACTTGTGCCTCGAAATGAAATCTGTCCTTTGAGTTTATGGCTTTTCATCCTCACCTTTGATTACCTATAAGGCCTTGGGCAAAGGTTTTACCTTTGGTCTAAGTTGAAGATTAATTTTGTTTGACATGGGAGTACGGATTTAGTGCTTATCAGACTGTTCCAGCCAAATATATTTTATTGTTTGTACCCTCTTTACAAATCATTACCACACAGAACTGTTTTAAACTTGTTCCATATATATATGTTTGCTAAGGCTTTTTATTTGCTCTGAGACCTTTAGACTTCCTCACATATAGTCAGATAGGCAGTTTGCCCAAGCGCCAATTTGTTGAAAATGATGACAGTGCCCTTATGTACCCTAGTTTTGGCCATGTTTCTTCTATTCCCTTTTAATAGCTGTCAGTTGTTGCTACTGAATTATTTTCTGTTAATTTACTGATTTATGCTGTTATTAGTTGATCCTTTGGTCCTTTTTGTTTCCTTTTGTCAGCATCTTGTCTAGGTATTGTCTACACTATAGGGACACAGTCATTAATATCTGTCTCGTTCCTCTTTTTGAGTAGAGCTTTTGGATGTTGAAATTTACTTGCTGTGAACTGGTTCATTTTGTTATTTCCCAGGCTGCCAACTACTTGAACATCAAGAGCCTGCTTGATCTCACATGTCAAACTGTGGCTGACATGATTAAAGGGAAGACACCAGAGGAGATCCGGAAGACCTTTAACATCAAGAATGACTTCACTCCAGAGGAAGAAGAGGAGGTTAGGAGGGAGAATGCTTGGGCATTTGAGTGAACTTTAAATCTCATAATCCGGGGATACATTTGGAATATATCTTACTAGATGTATGAACAATCTGTTGTGTTAGTAAATATGTGAGTACGGTATTTGCTTTTGGACCCCTGACTTTGTTATTCAATGAAGTGGCTTGAACCTCCTTTTGCTGTTATGAAGTCTTGATTTAATGTGAAGCTCTCGTAAATTGATGCAAAAATGCTTGAAGTCTTTTTGAAGAACTTGTCTTTATATTTTATTTTTATTTATCTATTGTTAGAGATCTTAATATTTTTTATCCATTCTAGGTTTTATTACTTGTGATGGTGATATGACCAGTTTGATATTGTTAGTTTGAAACTGCTGAGTAGATGTCCTGTAAATTTAGGGAGGGTATTACATTCCTGACTTGAGCAATTACTGGGTGCCATTTTCTTTTTGTAAGAGTACTGCTCTGACTAGCTTTCTGGGATTCCTTTTTTTATTTAACACTGCCAAATGTGCAGGGACAGGATAGTTTAGGTTTTTTTGAGGTTTGAAGTAGGAAGCTGCTAATAAGATCCTATTGAGCTCTACATATTTGGTGGGATAAAAAGAGTAAAGATCAGTTTTGACATTTAACATAGAGTAATCCCGATTTCCTCATGTTTGCCCTATCATTGATAGGAGATTTTATATTCACTACAAGTGCTACATTCGTGTTTCCTTTCCTAGGAGGTATGCGATTAGACATCATTATTTACAGTATGTTTTGTGTTTCACCTTGAATCACATTCTGCTTACTGTAACTATCAGTGAGTTTGAGACTACAAATACTTGTTCTGGTGAATGTGTCTTGGACTCTTGGTTATATAAGCTTCTCTTGCACCGATAGTTATATAAAATTCTCTTGCACCACAACTCTGCCTCAGAAGGAAAAATATTTTTGCTTGGGCGTACAGTTTGACTCGATGAAGATAATGTTTTTGGTTGAGTTGGGATAATGCTTGTTTCTTTCATATTGTGGACCCTTTGCTTCATGGTAAATTGTTACTTTTGAAACAAGGAAAAATTGACATCTTAGATCTATCCAACTAAGAGTCTGGTCGGCCAAGTTGTTGAAACTATTTATTTTGAAAAGTACTTTTGGAGATTAACCGTCTATGTTTTGATCAGTTTGTTTATACTTTTTACAATATTTGATAAGGAAATTGTGTTTGGCCAGTTTGAAAAGTGTCAAATTACGAAGTAAAGGATTTGTTTACAATAAACATATTTAAAAAAGAGAAATTTTAAATATTTGTTATAAAAGAATCAAATTAATTTTTTATTTTTATTTATTTGAAGTATAAAATATAAAGTAATATATACTAAAAGTTTAATCAATATAAAATATAAGTATATAAAAATAATAATATTGATAGGAGCTTACATATATGAAAGCTGGTAGGTGCTTTTGCTAAATATGTGGGGACTAATTCAAATAACACATCAGAAGCACTAGCATTGAAGATGGGGGTTGATTGGTGTCTTGAAAAGGGAATCAGGAAACTAGAAGTGGAAAGCGACTCTCTTATATTGGTTAACTGGGTCCAAAATGACGCATCAGTCCCTTGGAGTCTACACACTATTGTGATGGAAATAATATCAGTTCTTAAACAGTTTGAAGAAGTAATTGTGAAACACTGTTTCAGGGAAGCCAATAAAGTGGCTGATTACTTGGCTAATGATGGTCTAAAATACCAAGATATCAAGTGCTATAATAACTTGTGATTTTTTCCTTCCTATACCATATATGAAACTTTATTACCAAATATGTGCATAGTATCTAAATTATCCGCCTAGTCCGCATTTTTCTTACAATTTCTGTACCATTCGATTATTAGGTATTAAAAGGGCAGAATATTCCCTTAAAAACGCGCTAAAAATCAGGAAAGAATCTTGGGATTGATTGATTCTACATTAAATTCAATTTTTGAAACGGAAAGGAAATTTCTCATCTGCGTATTTTTCTCTTAAACTACAATTCAAAAATTAAAAAAAAAAAAATACGAACAGCTTCAACAAATTGAACTCAAATTGTAGAATTCAAATCTTCGAGATTCAACAATTCAAAATTGCTATATTCTGTTCTTCGTCGTTTTCAGAAATCAAATTGTCGATCATATATCTGTTCTTCATCTTTTTTTCTCTCAATCTAGAAATCCAAAAAAACGAAAAAATTTAGAATGATATGGGGGTTCGTGTGTATATGCAGACTAAAAAGGAGAATAAAAACTTAGGTTCATATCCGTTATGCATAAGTGTACGAGATTCCAATATAGAATTGGCAATCACCAACGATAATACAAGTGCAGGTTTGTATAGTTCGAAATTGCATAGAATTATGGTTTTACGATATTATCTACAAAATTACTACATTTGTCTACAATTAAACTACAAATCAGTTTAATGAAAGAATAAAGCAATGTTGTTTTCAAAATTATCTACAAAGTTACTAATTTATACGACAAAATAAACTACAATCTATGATTAGAAATTGTTGATTTCAAAATGTCTGACATCCTAAAATGGATGACTACAAAATTTTCACTATACCTATAAATTATCTACAATTGAAATGGGAATTGGGATATTAAACTTCAATGTATCCAGTTTGTAGATATTTTGTAGATAAATTTTAGATTATTTGTATTCTGATTGTAGATGCATTGTTTTCTGTTTTCACAAATCCAAAACGACTAAAACTTCTACAAAATCTTCTGCAGAAAACAGTCTAATTACATTATGCTACAAAACAAAAATTTCAGCTGTAGAGCTGAAGTTCGCCAGTTATAAAACAAAAACTTCAGCTCTAGAGCTGAAGTTTGTACGTTTGTAGATATTTTGTAGATAAATTGTAGATTATTTATGTTCTGATTGTAGATGCTTTGTTTTCTGTTTTCCTAAATCAAAAACGACTAAAACTTCTACAAATCTTCTGCAAAAGTGCAATTATGTCGAAAATACAATTAAGCTACAATTGAATGAAAAATTGTACCAATATCAAAAATACCAATTAAGCTACAAGCTACAATCGATTTTCACCATGCTAATTGTATGGTCCCTAGTGGCCAAGCTAGCCTTTTCATTATACTTTGCATTTTGACTCATATTCCAATTATTCAAATTAAAAAGTCAACGATAAACCTCGATCAAAATCTTCTGCTCATATGAAATCGTACGTATTATATAATGACGGTGGTTGTCACTTTAACTGAGAACCACATGACTTGATTAGTTAATTCAATAATTATTTTATTTTATTTAAGTAACTGTCATATTTCCAAGACTGTTTTGACTGGTCTTCCTTGAATTAGGAGAGAGAAAGTACGGGAGAAGTGGAATTAAACGGAAACCCTTTAATTAAGGAGTAAAAAATATCTCATTAATTACACCCTTAATTAATTATGATATAGAAATAATAATTTAGTATACTAAGTGTAATTAAGTCAAACCTTAAACGTAGAGGGTAAAAAGGTTTCCTATTTGGTACAGGAATGTAAAAATTCCTAATAACTTTCAACAACTGCCTAAACGGGCCAAGGGACACTACAATATGGACAAGATGCAATTTCCCTCATTTCGGATGAAGCACAAGAAGAATTCTATTAGTTTGAAAAGTCAAATTTTGAGACACTATCATTTTGATGTACCTTAATTCAATATTAGATAGTAGGGAGTTTGGAATGATCATTCCCAACATGGAATGAATTTTTTTGAGAGCTTAATATGCAGTCATACAGTCATGTATAGGATGGAGCCGACTCCATTCTGTAGGCATAGGAGACCTTGGATGTCAAGTCTTTCATTTTGTTCTAGTTTTTACTCATTTAATAATAGATACTTTTCAATTAAAAGAAAATGTTACATGTATAAAAACACTATGGATTCTTGAGAAAACAACAAACTAGGTAGTATTGCATTAAGTCAACTATATTATATGCATGCACGCTAGCAAAAATATAAATAAAACTACAAACTGGAGATCATATAATGTTGGTATACTGCAAAAGAAAAAAGAAATCATACCTTACGAAGAAAGGTCTTGAATAGGGTGATTATCCCTGTTATTTCAAAGAATAATAGGAGATGAAGAAATGACGGAAATGAAAAGAACAGATCTAGTTATAGTAGAGAGATTATTCCAAATAGGAATAAGAGAAGTAGAATAAAAATACGGTAAGAATAAAAAAGAGCAGAAAGGGATGGTAAAGATAAAAATGTGAAGATTAAATTAATAAGGAATAATTTAGAAAATATAATTTTATGTTAAGGATATTTTTGTCTTGAAAAAATAAATTTTTTGCTTATGCTTCTTGGAAGAAGTTAGAATTTATGATTTCTTTCCAAAAATAGAAAAACTCTTCTGTTGCTTCTCAAAAGTACTTAACTATTTTGGCCAAACACCTTATTTTCAAATAAGTATTTTTTTGATTAAAAAAAAAAAAGCATCCTTAACCTCCTAACAAAACAGGCTCATGGAAAGTGGCGGGGAAGTGGGCTTTGGTGTCGTCAGATGGACTGATTTTTTAGGGTAAAAATAGCACGGGCTAGCCAGTTTTCGGACTGGTCATTTAAAAATAGTCAGCGTTTGCAAAGTCATTGTAAATTGCCACTATTTTGTTGCAACACGGAAAGTTCCAGCATAATATACTGGAGATCGGTGCACCTGTGTATGTGATAGGAAATAGGTATAAACAGCGGAAGCAAATAGCCAGGATCACTTGCATGAAAAATAGACAACACAAAAGCATAGGTATAATCAAACGTAAAATCGATACTTATCTCTTGAAGCGTGACCGCGAACGCGAAAATACCTTCGAGCACGAACAAAAATCGTCAACGAGATCATCCTCCAGCTCCACGGTCTTCTACTGTGTGACCCGAATAATGCCTGGAATTATCGAAATTCGTGTGGGCGAATTTTCTCCATGGAAAACGTGTAGTAAAACTCGTAGCCTCCTTATGGAATAAGACCCCTTTATATAGCCACAGGTTTTAGGGTTTAAAACCTTTTCCTAAACCTGTTATGTCTTCCTTTTCCATCAAGAAACAAGATTCCATTTAATTCCTAATTATTCAGGCAGAGTAGGGACCACATAATTTAATTTACGAGGCTTCCTATTATGGACTTAATTCGAAATATTTGAATTAATACTACCATAATAAATTACGAATTATTTCACTAAAAATTCGCAA